TTGCAAACCGTCACTAGGCATTTTATAGCTTGAACGCATTATTGATCAAAATGGAATTATTTATATAATAATAAATACAAAATAATTAATAAAAAAAAACAAATCATATCCCGGATGAAGATCATTATATATGAATTCTTACAATTTGTATAAATTTATAAACACGCAAATTTAATTTTAGTTAACATTCCCGCTCACACATTGTCTAAAAAAATTGCGGATACATTTTCCGAAAATGACATTTAACGATTCACGCTCGCGTTGCCTCTGGCCCGACGTGTCGTTTTTATTCTACAATCGCCCACAACCGCCACATGTGATAGCGTTCATTAATTACTCGCATAAATACCGGCGCGCGCGTGGGCGTCGTTTGCGTCGGATTAACATTCATACGTGACGCTTTATCGTCGACGCGGCGCGGCGGGTTTCGATTATCGATCCTAGGCAACCTAGTGGCGGGTACGACGTCGCCGGGATGCTCTATAGTTCGGCATAGCAAATAAAAGAGCATTATTGCGGCGGGGCGATAAACGTCGGGCATGAATGACGCGCGCGCGCGCTCCGAAAGGTTTCACGTCGCACGCGCGACGATTTGTACTTATCGAACTTTCGCGCGCGGAACGCTTTATATCGATAGTATCATGAAGGGCTCCCTTTCACGATCCCGTCAACAGTGGACGCTATTGTGCGAACGGGACCGCGATCTAGCGTTCTAGTTTCGGTGCGAGCACCGCGCCGTGTCACGTTCGCTTCGAAAATTCGCGGAAATCGGGATGCCGACCGAAGAACGTCGCACGGCGTTTAAATTACGCCGTTCCCTACTTTTGCCCCGAGAAAGACGTGCGAAATGCTAATATCTCTCCTTTCGCGACACAGCGCGTTATCCCCCTGCGCGATAACCTTATCTCAAACTCTGCTGCGCCTATCTTTTTGCGTCGGAAACTGTATACACTTATCCGTTTGTCCGTATTTCGTGGCCCTGCATCGTGTCGTGCTATAAAGGTTTTATGTTTCTCTCTTGTGCTATGTACATAGCACCGCATCGAGCGCTACTACATATTTTACAGTTTTCTCACTCGTGGCATTCCGTTAGCTTCGCAACTACAAATTGCCCCCGATATATACTAACTCGTGCAGTACTTGGCGTTAAAAAATGCACGCTTCTTCGCCTATCCCGCGGAGCGATCATTAGCCCGGCGCGCATTTAGCTTCCTGTCGTCCAGCGCATTTCGATCGCGTGCGCTCGCGCTGCTAAATTACACGTTCGCATGAGTCTCGCTCATCTTATAATTACTTTCTCAAAATGACGCGATGTCTCGTCGAGAATTCCGCGACTCGTCGCCATAAACTTTCATTACTTCTGCTGTTAGTGGATTCGGGACGAAAGTAACGGCGGTTAAAAGGAGAGGGGGCGAATCTATATAGTTTCGCGATGGTGACCTCGATGCGACCGCGGAAACGCAGCCAAGGTTGCGGCTTGCCATTGAATGGCGCATTCAATGTCAATGAAGCCCGCTACGCGACTTTCTTCGGCGAAATCGATGCCGAATTTCGCTGCCCGGCCGGACGGACGGCGAACGCGATAGCGTGACGCGAGCAATAAGCCGGCGCAGTCTTGCCATGCCGGAGTTCTGCACAGCAGCGTCGCGGTCTGCGTTGGGGTGGGACCGATCCCCGCCGCGTTCACCCTCGTCGTATCTCGTGTCCTCCTCCCTCTATATACGTTAATGCGTCGGGGCCACGGCAAGAAAAGGAGCAAAAAGCCGCATCTGCGGGGAACCGTCGATACCAAACATCATCAGATATCCTTGATATAGTGCGATAGTATCAAACAGTGCCTGCAATTACGTAGGTTTGGTATCTCGAAAATTGAACTTGATTAAGAGAAAAAAATGCCCCCTTTCATCTTACGTTGTGCGCAATCAAGATTTTATTGTCTCATTTTTATTGTCATGCATATAATGCAGCTATAATGGACAATGGAGAGATGTTTAATTTCGCTAATTTGAACTTTAAACTATGACGTCAATTTTCCGGTTAATATTTTCGAGTGTAAAGATACATGGCTTTTGGTTATCACGATTAGAGCTCTTTTCATTTTTTAAGCAAATCTTTTCTAATATTTTAGCGCAGATATAATTTTATAAATGTAATGGAAAGTTAAAAAAAAAATTAAGATATTTAATCCGTTTTTTTAGAAATACAAATCTTGTTTCTAGAAAGAATTGTAAGAGATATTACTTGATATTTTTTTAAAGGTCCGAGGTTACATGTGTGTTACAGTGTTGAAATGTACAGATATACCGTTTATATGTATATTCGTTTTATTTTTTGGGATAATGCCAAGGCTACGTTTGAAAAATGATTGTCCTTCATAGATTATAATTGCGATAGGCCGCTACCGAGAACTGCCACACGGCTCGAACTTGTCACGCGTGACGTATATCGGCCTGAATGGTCGGCAAAAAAATACGGTCGTATGCGGAAGGCCGGTATCGATTCTCGCGGTTCATCGGAGCCGTGCACGTGAGAATACGCGCGCGCGGTCGGCACGCGACACTCCGCGCGATCGTTGCATGATCAAACGCTAAATGTCAACTTTTGCGTAGCATTGTTACGAAATCGTTCAAAGAGGCGCATGCCGTTCGTGACTTTTGCCCTGGTGTCCTCAGGCTCAATCTAGAATCGCCGTCGGCACTTCAACAAGCTTTGTAAAGCACTACACTGTTTCACATCAAACATTCAGCTGCACGAAAGAAAGGATCTAGAGAGAGATTTTCATAATGCTGCTTTTGACGTTATTATAAAAAAAGAACTATTTAAATATACTCTTAATGCTAATAATAGTAATAATAATCCTAATGTTTCTAATGAAATGTATAATAAGATCATTACGAACGACAATGCTAATGAAATATAAGATCACTACGAATTTATAAACATAAGTAATTTATAGTCATAGTAGAATTATTTTGTAGTAGTTTGAAGTGCCTATTATATCTACATAAATGCATAAGAGAGAGAACTCTTGAACTAATAATTAATAACCTGATTAAAATCATCAAATTCAACTTTGTAGTTTCTTCATGGATTTAGCTAGTTTTTCAAGACTTTGAATAGTTTTGTAGATTCTAGATACCGTGCCTATATAGCGCGATACCGTGCAGGACGCTGAAGGGCGAGACGACCCTGCCGGTGCACCTGGAGCTGCGTTCCGCGAACGCGTTATCGCCAGCCCCTATCAATGCAACCCTTGCCCGAGACCCTTTTTCGCGCTCGTGCGGCTCCGTACGCGAAATCGATAGTCCCCGCAGGCGTGCGTGAGAAGTCGAGCAAAGACCGACGGACGGGGCCTGTCTGTAACTTGTGGCGTTTACGAGCGCCTACCGCCTCCTGCGCGTTAACGAAACTCGCATTGTCTCGTGACGTGCCGCGCTTCCTGGGAATTACATACAATGTTATATCCCGTAAAGTGTATACGGCGTAAGAATTGAATTAGAGCTCCAGGCCGCTCGGAGAGAGAAAGAGAGAGAGAGAGAGAGATGCGTTCCCGATGTTGCGAAGAGATGCAATTTAACGGTGACTTGTTAAGCATACAACTAAATGCGAGCACAAATTTGCGCATCGCTGAAAACGTCAGTGCAACATTATCATCTTGCAGTTTATGCATTGTAATTACAATATTATAACTATGCACGTTATACGATAACGTAACATTATAATATTGTAATTACAATTTGATAACGGCAACATCATAACGTTATCAGATTGTTGTGCAGTCACAACGGGATTGCAGAATAAAACCTTTTGCCTTCCACCGCTGACGTTTATCAACAGAGTAAGCCGGGGGTAATTGGATGAGCGCGGCAGCATTGATGCATTAGGAAAACGCGGCGCATCTGCCACACGAAGAATTACGTTCCTAGTGCAAAGGTTAATCCCATAGCCACCCTCACAATTCCCGCTATCCACCAATTAGGGATTGGTCTAATATAGGATGATCTTAGGTCAACTTGGCTGTCATCTAAAACTTCCCTTTACATGACATAATTGTCATTAAGCCCTCAAAATTCTAATTTTCTGATATTAACTCTGAGATCGCGATATATTATTCAGAGATTGGTTTTGTAAAATTAGTATTGTTACATCTATTTTCACTTAAAATTAATTTTCTCGTCGTTTTCTCTCACGCGTTTATTGTGAAAAATTTATTTCGACGGGACGTTTTGGACAGATCGTTTCTATAAAAAAAATTCAACGCGGAAACTTTTGTTCATATCCGTTAACATTTACTGGCAATGTTATATCTAACGAGATTCGATAACAAAGCGCGTCTGCTTATTTTTTATGCGCTTATTTCAGCCGTTTTATCCAACGAATATATCCAACACAAAAATACGACGGTGACAGTGTTTCGGTATAGGATTGCAAATAAGATATGGCAGTTTAGCATACAATGGCGACGCGAGTTAATTAATTAATCATGGATCTGGCACGACCTAAAGATTCGGTTACAACATCGTACAAACAACGGTTTGAATTCTGTTGTCTGGTAGTGTTGTTTTAAAAATTATATTATTATTACGCTACGCCTCACACAATATCTAACAAGAAAATATATCAACGATGAATACGAGGTAGTCTGAGCATTTTCGTTATATTGGATTTATTGGTTACGATATTAAACCATAAATTACAAACATGTGTTTCCGATGTTTTCATAAATTGCACACGAAATTATTAATTTGTTGTTTTTTGTTCAATCATAAATGAAGCAAAAAGTTTTCTGAAACCGATAAATAATTACCGAAGGTAAAAATGAAAAGACTGTCACACGTATATAAAACAATCTTGAAGCTTTCTTGCGTTACGAACTAAACTTGTCACCGCGAATGCAAGATCATTTCAATTTGTCATAATGAAAGATGATATTTGCGTTATAGAGAATGCACAGATGAAATCTGTCTTAATAATGTTTGCAAAAATTCTTTGGGACGTACCTGAGACCACTGATATCCTTATCACCATCAACGAGGATAACAGCAAAGTCACGAACTGCAATCCAGGTCTCTGCATGATGGATGACACGCGTCTGTCGTTCGATCAATTGCAGAAGATCACTTTGACATCGTAGTCACTACGATTTGAGATTGCACTGATTCGGCGAAGTTATTCTCTCGCCAGAATGCACTGCCCCGCGTCTGTTACATCCGTCTTCCTGTCACAAACGAAAGAATATTAAAATTACAGTTGGCTTAACGAAGTATGATTCGCATTTAAATTGTGAAATAGAATATGATATATAATTCGTGAAAAGGGATAGAACAGCTGCGATTGATTTTCGTAAAGAACGAAGCTCTTTTTGCGTTTTGACGCAGAGATATGCAGGGTGCCCCGCCAAAGAGTGTCAATATTTTGACAGATAATAATGGCGGTCGTTTTGGAAACAAAAAAGGATGTATAAATCCTTATACGATTTTGAGGATTGTAGATTGTGGATTAAAGAGAAGATAAAACGGCTTTGTTATGTGAAAACTTGCTCTATTACAAATGAGTCTCGAATTTCGTGACACTGTCAAAGTATTTCCATTATAAATCACTGCTTTGTACAATCTCAAATTATCAAATTATTTATTTGACAACTGGATAAATACTCGTATATTTACTCTCAATGATCGGTACTATCAGATCTTGAAATAAATTTCTTTACAATTTTCTAGTTTTTGCGCGTTTGTAAAAGTGGACTCTACCACGAGCTCTTCCTGCGTCGAAGTTCAAAGAAAAGTGCTAATTAACGGTACCATTAATAAAAACAATGTCGATTATTGTTGAGCCGACGCAATCATACCTCCTCGCGAAAATCCGCTATACTTCCGGCCGTGGCCGTGCGACAACCGGAGCGATACGGAGCGGTGCTGATCTCGAAAGACTCAGGTGATTTTTTACTGCGTGAAATCGATGTTTCATTTTTCGATATCGCGTTTCGACGGTTTTCGTTAGGAGTTGTAGGGAAAAGAGGCGGTATCTAGACGTCGCGACGTTACGGCGTTGCGGCCAATACTAAAACGACGTCGGGACACCCGCCGTTATCAGACACAATTTTCCACGCGTGCGCACGCGCCCCCCGAGAAACCCGGGGGGCTGCTGAAGCGGCGCGGAGTGTGACGAGGGGCGACAATGCCGAGGGAATCCCCTATGGCCGCACTGGGAATAGGTGCGACTCCTCTTTTGCACGTCGTTCGTAGGCTCAAGCCTATACTCGTATTTCGATTATTACCGCCTCGGCACGCAATAACGGTTTCGATGATTTTATGAAGTGCTAGTTTGAGTATCTTTGATTTACAGCAAAAATAGTTCGATCTGCAACGAAAATACATATTTTAAGAAATTAAAAGAAAACAAATTTGATAATTGAATATAAATAAAATAAAATAAAAATTTACTAAATAATGAAGTAAAAGTTAAATTTTGTAAGCAATATTTTTAAGAAATGATTTTATAAAATAATGAACAATTTTATGTAAAGATAACACACACAGTATGAAAAATATACAAAATAATTAAATCTCTTATATTGATGAATATTGAAATAAATTATTTCTATAAAAAGTTTATAGCATGAACAATGATTTAAGCTAAATTTATATATTTATGAAGGCGAAAATATAGGAAGATGGATATTTTACATTTATCTCACGTATCATTCACTATTAATCATTTGGATGAAAATTGTAAAACATAAGCTTGTTACAAATGTTATATGTTTAAAAAATATCAAAAGTATTCAAATATAAAAGAATACTTTGTCATTTTTTGAATAGACACGTTATATTATCAATTTATGACAGTCATCATTATTTCATTGAATGTGTCACATTTAAGTCATATTTCATATTTATCTTATTTATTTAAACTCTTATATTTATTTTTAAAGCACACAACTGTGTTTCGTATCGATTGCATTTTGCCTCATCTGCGACATTATCCGCATTATTCGCCTTCCTCCTAATTCGGTTAGAACATCGATTTGGCGGTAGGCTCTCTCTGTTTCCCACTTACTTCCCGTAAACAGGAGGAGGACTCATGAAATCGTAGAGGTACGGCCTTAATGTCGCGCCTGTATAGTTAGGGGAATGTCGCCGCGTCTCTCCCTTATTTTTCTTAGGACAAGCTTAGGCGAGAGACATGCGTTTGATTTAGAGCACGACGTTTAGACGCCGGCGTTTTTTCAGTCTCGCGGACGTTTCATTCGCGATGGAAGACGTCTTTATGATTTAGCGACTTTCCCGTCGACGAATACACTTAAGTAAATGCTTCTTCCTTTCTCAGTGTCGTATTTTTGAGTATCCCTTGGATATGAAAATAATTCGTAATTTTTGTTATATAAGTTATTATAAAATATTGCTTCTTTTATTATATTAAAATAATTATTCTATTTTATTTTAAAGCTATTTATTTTAAAATTTTATCTCCGAAAAGTCTAAGAAACGATAATAATTAATAAGTATTATAGCAAAAATAAATAATAAATTTGTTAAAAATATTAAATTAAAATTAAAATTATAAAATATTTTCTTCAATGTTATTAATTCAGAAAGCGTGAGAAAACTTTCTTTGTAAAATTCCTTTGTTCGTCACCGATACTGGGGGATACTCTCTTATTTTCTTATACTCAAGACGTCACTGCAGTTTCTTCCGCATGTTTTAGCGAAGATTGCGCGTTGCCGTTTTGCTTGTTCGCGAAGTTCGTAAAAAGTTAAATCGACCGGGGCATCAGAAACAAATGTCCAGTATATGATTTACGCTTTATACAACCAAGTCGTTGCTGGTGACCTTTGAATGATGCATTTGCTTTGCATTCACGATATGCATCTTGCTATCAATGCTGACGAATCGAATGCTGTAAAACTACGAATAGAAAGTTCGGTGTGATTTATCAACGTATTTTATTCTTGAAATAATATTGAAGAAAATGATTTTTCTTTTAAAATCTGGTTGACGTTAGAAACTTTTTGAACAAATAAAAATTATATCTTGATAATTTTTACTAAGCCAATCTAATTGTTATTATTATTTTACATATATATTTTGTGTAACGATTTAACTTAATGAATAGGTATAACGAATGAATCATTACACGTTGTGTAAACAATGCAATATATCTAACAAACTGTGGCAGAAAGAAGTCACGTATTTTCTTTGTGAGAGAGAAAATTAGAATTTTTTTAGAAATTTTTATTTTACTATTTAAAAAAAACGATTGTAGTTCTAAAATTATTAATGAAAATTGAAATAATATTCTTCTTAATTAATTTTTAGATTTTCTAGTATTTGATTGACGAAAAATATGTAATTAACAAATTATCCATAAAAAACATATTTATCTCCTGCAGGGAAAAATGACCAAATGATTGATTAGCTCTATACATATATTCGACGCTATGAGACCCTTGTTAGAACAGAATAGTCAAGAGATTAAAGTCCCCATCTCGCGTAATCCGTATGTTTTCATGTAATCCTTGCCATGTGTGTCTGTTTCGTGTATCTGCATTTCAGCATGATATATATGGTAAAATGACAACTAAAGCAATGGACATAACTTTACATGTTAAACAGATTATAAAAATATCATTAAAAGATATTGACTCTACTTATAAAAAATTATATATGAATTAGGTATTCTCGATAATTACCAATTATTATTTTTCTCATATATACATATATCCAATTTTAATTGTGTTTTCCTTGCTATATATATATATATATATATATATATATA